TAGCTACAAAGTGTTTATTGACTTGTTTTTCAACATTATTGAATCGTTTTATGGTTTTATTGCAAACAGTAATCAACGAAGCACTTGTAATTTTATATAATGAAATGAGTTTATCATGATTTACCGTCTTATACCTTTGTATTCAGTATTTTTTGCAAGCTTTTAGCTTTCTTAGGTACATTTTTGTGAAAGATAGTGAGGTAAAGGTAATGTTATAAGGGTGGAGTATATTGCATTCTGATTCCTAATAAAATCGAAGCTGTATTGCTTTTTGACAAGTTTTATGATATTCATGTTTATATCAAAATCGTTAAATTCCTAGATACGTTAAGCAGTAGTATAGCCTACACAGCTAAATACTAAACATGTTTAGGTCAAGGTGCATATAAGTAATATATTTGAAACTACTGGTTTACTGGCTTCATATATACAATGGTTAGTATTTTATCATTCATTATATACGTAATTTGAAGCATATAAACCCAACTAGACAGTAGAATTACAAAGCAAACTGTAAAAGCAAGTAAACTAGACACAGAACTTGGTTGTATAGGAAGCCTTCCTCGGAGAAATAAACTTGGTTGTATAGGAAGCCTTCCTCGGAGAAATAATTATAAATCAAAAGTATGTACATACAATATAATTTACATACCTCTAAAAAAAATTTATTTAAAAACCACTGTACCGAAGCGATGTTATATATTGATATATCATTACTCAAATTTTGAACCTAACACATGAGTTTCCTTGATCTTTTAGAGTAATCTGGCTGGGCTCTCTCTTCGAGTATTCTTTTCGGGGGATCGAGTGTGTGTGGAACCGTGTCGTGGCGTAGAATCTACAAGTTCCATATATTACCACAACTATATCGCCATGAGTAAAAGCTGGATAAAAAGGACTCAGAATAGTATTTGATTCTGGACATCCGTATCTTTCGACGATGAAATCAAGAAAGACCTAAAAAACAGTCTTAAGGAAATGTCTTGACTAATTAAATACATTCCAGATTATAATTTCACTCCAATTAAAACCACAAAAGATCCATAAACAAAAACTATCCAAAAAGGAACATATAATAAAACTCATAAAAAATATCGATTTCCTTTTAAATCAATCTGGGTTCATATTACCACAAGTATGCTGTCACAAGAAAACCCCTCGATAATTATTGAATAGTTTCTCCATCTAAAGGCGGTGACACACTATCGATCTTTTCCCCGATCAAGACCCCGAACCGAGCAGGGAGAAGGGAGAAGGGAGATAAATATTAGCAAAATTTTACTCCGAACATTTCCCCGAACATGACCAAGACCAGACGAATTCTACCGAGCGCGGCAAAAGGAAGTTTGGAGAGAGATAGAGAGTGTGTGCGAGTGAGAGCGCGGAACTATCAATGCTAGCGCAGGCGGCCGCTCGGTGCGGCGCTCGCGACGATGTACGGGGCAAAAATGTACCGTGACACACTATCGTACATCGGACCGTACATCGGACCGATCTTTTCTTTGATCTTTCGCCAAAAAACCGCCTCCAGAGCGCTCGTCTCCCTGCTCGGCCTGATGTCTTGTTCGGCGTCTTGATCGGTGTACGGACTCGTGACACACTATCGAACATCCTCCCTTCGACCTCCCTTCTCCCTTCTCCCTGCTCGGTTCGGGGTCTTGTTCGGGGAAAAGATCGATAGTGTGTCACCGTCTTAAGTATCTAGCCATTCTAGCCCAGCCGAAGATGGAACCAGACAATGGGCCTTGTTTGAAAGTGACCTCGGACAAAAAGTGGAGTAAGTTGAAAGGTCAGAAGGAGTGCGCAGCGCAGTACAGACGCACTACGCAGACTGACAGAACTACGACTGCGCCGTGCCGCCTTTCCCACGAGTTCTGACCTCGCAAAAACATCTTCTATCTCGCATCTTGCACCGTTACACTGCCTCTACTAGTGTCATTGTTGTTAGTCAAACATATGTTACCTCTCTGTGCTCATGTTTGACCAGACTGGTAAACTGACGAAGTTTGGCCTTCCAAAAACATCTACGATCTACTCGTCGCTACATTGTCTCCACCGGTTTCATTGTTGTTAGTCAAACGTATGTTACCTCTTTGAATTCTCGTTCAACAAAATTTCTGGACTGATGTCAAGCAGATAATTTGACTGCTGCCGTTGTAACAGTATGTGCTTTTATTTACTGTTACTGTGTGATGACTAGATTATGTTCTAGGCTGTGAGTAAACACAAACAAGTGAGTGTGTCTGTACATTAGCCTCTTGCTAAATCGACTCCACTGGCTTGCCATTTGAAATTAATTGTTGTACCAGAATGTTCTTTTTCTATACCGTTTACGTTTTTTACCGCTTTCAAGACTTTAGGGTAGAAACTGACAATTTCTATACTCTCGGATGACCAGTAAATTTCCCCTGATTTGACCAATTGTTTAATTTAGTTGTTAATTCACAATGTGCTTTTTATGTATAATTTCTTTTAAAAAAATAAGGATTTTCCAACCGATTTTTACATACATGAAATCCAAATATTATCCAAGACATCCTGTGAGTCCAGCCTTGTTCACATTCTCTTTAGCAAATTTTTTTTCATAGTATTAGATCTCTTTGAAAGTTAGATCAAGCCTTGACAAAGACTTTCCAAAATTAACAACTATTGAAAACCAACCCTCTCTCAAATTTTAATCTGCAATTAGGATTTTTACTGTCGAATTTCTTGACGAAGACTTTCTAAAGGAAGCTACCATTGAAAAATCAACCTTCTTTCACATTCACATCTACAATCTGGACTTTTCTCTTCAGTAAACGATAGCTAATGGCTGGCGACGCTGTAACGGCCCAGTGCGCGACCTAATGGCCCTAGTGTGGCTCTCTGTAATCATAGAGCTCGCACGAGTCACTACCATTACGCCAAATGGTCTGTCCACACATACAACACAGACCACAGCCTCCTGGTCCACACGTGCCCCTGATGGACACCCATTCCCGCGGTTTTGTCCGAGCGGTCCCGCGTAATAGACGGAAAGTTATTTTTCGTCCAAATTGTTATAAGATGAGAAATTTCGGAATGCCTTCTTTGTGTCCACCACCAGAACGTCGGGTATGGGTGCGTAATCTAACATAATGTTTTGTGGAATTGGATTTACAAATTTGTTAGAATGTGTCTTCTAAAATAGGAAATACTTTCAAAACTTGATTACCCCTTATTTCTTCTTGTGGGAAAGGAGGAGGAATAAGATAGAGTAGGTATCATCAGGTACTGTCAACAGACAAATAACTTCTGGTTCTATAGGAGTTTGTTCGCTACAAAAGTTACCAGCAACAAGTTATTGTTGTCTTCGATTTGTTATACCTATATACTTTCACATTTCATCGTAGGCTCCCTCAGGAAAATTCCAGTTTTGTTCAATTATAAAAAATCCCACACACCATCCCAAAGTTTTTGTTCCAATATTGGTACCTCTACATCTTACCATACCAGTTGATAGGGCATGACTTATTACAACCAATGAGAGTCTAGCTTCAGTACCAGTTGAGCTAGAACGGCTAAATCACGAAAAAGGAGGTAATGTGGGATCTCTTCATCACTTTAGGGATTTCAGATATTTTAATTTAATTTTACACTCTAGTATGCAGCCTCCTCTAACCTCTATTCTACAATTTTCTGCCATCATGTGAAAAAAGTTAGCTCTTCCTTGACGAAACTCCCCACTCCATCTTTGCAAATAAATAAAACCATAATTTGAATACTGCAAGCACGGCTGAAAGGGATTCTACATAACTATAAACAAGATCTAAGTGCATCATATGTCTCACCAACGCCATTAAATGGGAAGACATTCAAATAATCTCCATAATAACCCCATAGTGCTCCATACCCGGACTCGTAGAATACTAGGTGAAAGCCTCGGCAATTCACTAGCGCATCTTCAGTATAGTCTATAGGTATAGCGAATCGCCCCTTAGACGGCATCGTACTTTCCCTATCAGTCAGTAATTGGTTATCGCAGTATATGGGACATTTGAATGGGAGATTTGCACAGATATCGCATCTCATTAGAGCTGACCTACTTGTCTAGCCGGTGTCGACTGTTTCGTTTTTATTGACCCATATTGCGAAGCAACAGCCGTTCTTCTTTCCGCTCGCCTGTTTAGGTTCGGGTCGATCTAGATACTGAGGGTAAAGGGCAAGTCAAATATAGGATTGTAGACGCATTATAGATCTCGAGATTGGGTGAGTTGCGCGATCACAATGGAAGAAACAAACAAGGCTGGTTCTGGGAGAGTTAATGATGATACTGGCTACGGCGGAGAAGTTTTGCAAGGATTGGGTTAAGTAATGTTTTCGATAGTGAGCTAAAGTAGATCAGTAACTTTGTTGGGTTTCTACTACGAATTTAATTTGGAATAAATGGGCCAAGACATTTCATTATTCAAAGGAGAGAAAATTAAATGTCTACAGGAAAATAACTGATTGTAAAACATCTTTGGATCTAAAAAAAAACTCAAATGAAAAATTTGGTGAAAACTCAGTGATAAAACACGTTAATTCCAGCTAGCTCTTATGGCAATCTAGATCTTCTTTGTACAGTAATATGAGGAACATTTGATTTGTTCGTTGTACCCAAAATGAAGCTTCTGAAGTTTGAAGTTATCTGCAAGTCTTTTTATAAATGTTTTGAATTATGTTAGTACTAAAGAAGTTTCAAAAATGCTTTCTTCAGCCTTCCTTGAAGTTTAACCTTTGACGTTTTATACTTGACCAACTCTCTCTTTGCAGGTTCACGCCACCATGTCAACCAAGGGTGCCAGAAAACTTCGGAGAAACCTGATTAAATTATTCTTTTGAGTCTACATTTAGTATTTCGGAGTTGACCAACTCTCTCTTTGCAGGTTTGACGCCACCAAGTCAACCAAGGGTGCCAGCAAACTTCAGAGATACCTGTTCAAATCCTTTTTTTAGTCTACATTTAGTATTCCAGACTTGACCATATTCTCTTTTTGCAGGTTTGACGCCACCAAGTCAACCAAGGGTGCCAGCAAACTCCGGAGAGACCTGATCAACGCGGAGATCGCCAACCTGAGAGATCTGCTGCCTTTGCCGCCCAGCACTCGTCAGCGGCTCAGTCAACTGCAACTCATGGCGCTCGTCTGTGTCTACGTCCGCAAGGCCAACTACTTTCGTGAATGTGAGTACATTTACAAGTATGTGATAGTGAGGACTGAAGTCTTTTGAACTCTATACGTATCCTATCGCTTTTTTCTTAGTTAGCTTTCTTAGTTCTTCGGTTAGCTTTCCGAAACTCAAGGGATTTTCCTTAACCTACCTATTCTTTGTTTTCTGGATGTAGCTCGAAGTGGACTCTGAGACACATATTGGAATGCTGCATAAACACACAGACAACAAGAATTTCAAATAATTCAACCGGGGTTCCCATGACAAGTCCTAGGCCATAATCCCTTAACCAGCTCAACCCTGACTCTTTTGGTCACAGGATTTTAGGGGTTGTAACTTATGTATAAGCCTTGGGACAAGCTCTGTTCTCTAAATTAGAAATTAGAGAAATTAAAATCAGAGCACCTTTGTATTGTTGGACGTTGTTGAAGGTGTATTACCTATCATGTTGTTTACATTTGGTCTTTCATAAATTATAATGCAAAATAGTTTTCATTTGTAGATAAACACACTCATATTTCTCTTCAGCTTCATTCGTTGAGGTCGTTTTCATAGCTTTTGAAACCCTAATAGCAATCATTTACGGGGTGCTGCTGATCTATTGGTTACAGCACTGGACTTCAGTCTAGAAGTCCGAGGTTTGCATCCCGCCAATTACAAAAATCTTTCAGATATGTTACAAAACTTAAATCCTCAGGATTCACCTGAAGGTGTATTTGACACATATTGACACGTTTGTACGTTAATCTAGAAAAAATATAGGCATATCAGGCAAAGAAATCCAATTTAAGCCAAATGCTAATTTATTACACGGTATGATGGTATCCTCAATTGTATGACCACTAAAGGTTATACACTGTTCTCAGAAGGACGCGTTTTTCAAATAATGGCATTAAAGTGAAAAGTTGAAACTGTATTTAGGGAGTTTTATAGATAGCGCTAAAATAAATATTCCATTACAATACGATACTGAATAAGTGTGTTTCCTATTTAACATAATACAGTAGATTGTATGCTACACCCAGCAGCCTAGTCCTTTGTCTGCAGGATGTGCTAGTCAGTGGCGCCGAGTCCGGTATACCACGCTGCTCCATACCCGGCACCCGGTCTTGTAGGTGTCCGCACGCCCGTGTACTCGTGTCGAATTTGCATAGAGCGAGCGCTGCAAAAAATGAAGAAATTAAGGAATGTGGGCTCCGCACCGCAGAATAATGGGGGAGTTTATCAGATCCCATTGTAAAGGGGCGGAGGTGGCCATATTTTGTGGCCTAATTAGAGTGGCCACGGACGCGAACGGTATATCACACTGGTGGTGCAGCAGATTAATCACTGCAACAATTAAACAGTGTGGATGGCGGGAGCAGCGCGGGCGAAACGTCCGCACGCAAATGAGACCCTGGAGTCCCCAAGGTGGCGAGGGACGACAGAGGCTGGTAGGTTTTTTTATTATTTAAATAATACACTTAAGTATAAAACTTTCCCTTTTTGCATTCAAGGAAAATCACAAATGTGAAAAACATTTCCTTGAAAACGAGTTTAAATATTAACATTGACCATACGACCATTCTTACAGCTATCACTTTCACTAGGTAGGCTATTGAATATAAGGTTTACGACTAGGCAACCGATAAAGTTATTGAAAAGATACTCACCAAAACTTAGACTACCTTTTATGTCTAGGTAAGATTTAATTTGTCTTTGTTTAATTTTAATTTTTAACAATTTGGGTTTTAATAAATATGTTCCTGTATCAAAAAACTGCGTGCCTACAACGGTAATAAAGCTGTAATATTATTAGGTCATCAGTCACACATTTAGGTTATCACACATTTATCTGGCAGAATTGCATTCCTTGATTCCAAAGTGGCAACATTTAGTTATATACCAATCAATCAATTAGTAAGATGGGGACGCTACCTAGATGCGTATTTGAACCCAAAGAGTAAGGATGAGTGTAGAATAGAGTGAGATGATCTGTGTAGCTATCGTCCATATGTAACATCATTGTGGGCGTATGTCCACAAAACATCAAACACAGCTTCAAAGCATATATGACTTAAGATTGCAACCAAATTCAATATGGAATCGCTCCCTTTTAAAAGTAAATGGTGCCTTTGGCCTTTATGAGACTTTATTCGATCGTTTCTTGAAGACTGACAAACTGAATAAGTATTATAATTTGAATATGAAGGTTTTGTATCCAATAAGATCAGTTGCCTCTTTATCCAGGACCATTTATTCAAGACCAATAAAGAAAAACACTTTGGTACATATTTTACCTTTCTCACTTTGAGTAATTGTTAGCTGATAACTAATTTCTAGTGTGACGAGGTGGCTATCTGATGAAAACCCGTGTATTATTATCCATTATTACCATTTGCGATGGGGACGCCATCTATGTGCGTATTTGAACCCAAGAGTGAAGGATAAGCGTAGAATGGTGTGTGATGCCTTGTGTAAAAAACATACACTAAGTCTTACGCTAAGACCAGCTGTTTCATTAGCCAAGATAAAGTAAATCCCAATGATCAAGGACAGCTGGGTCCAATCTCAAACCATCAAAAAGCTACACACTTTTCTCAGGACCGTCCAGCGACCTCTGATTACCAGGCGAGTACTATAACCTACTGTCATGAGGAAAAGAAAAAAACCCAGGGATCGATTAACTATCCATATCTGAAAAACCCGGATCACCTAGGAATAAATCTTGGAGCAGAAGACATAGAGCACCCCGTAGGTCCAGCGGGGAATATTTGTGATTGAAATGCACGACTTGGCGAGTCTGGTTCCGTTGTCGTGAACATGTAAATGTATCCAACTCGTGACTACTTTCGCTCATCGCATCGCAGACTACCAGACCTCCTCACCAATTACTCGATACCATTGTTATCGCGGTCATCTCGTGGGAATCCGATAGCTCTTGCGATCGATAGCTCGAATTTTCGGTCATTGTTCTAGGATTAGTTAGGTCTGGGTGTAGGATTGCTTGAATCGTCTATGAAGAGAAGACTTGAACTTTGTGGTATTAATGATTCCTCTCTAAGATGTTTAACAATCAAATTATCAAATTTCACAAACTCTAAGATAACAACCCAGGTTAGGTTAGAGGTACAGAAAAGATTATGAATTTTTACTCGTCAGTTCTCTTAGTTTCTCGTCAGGCATTTACTGATGGAAGAAGAAAATAGCTTTTGTAATTGTGTGAGTAGTGAATTTCATCCTCCTTTAATTATTTGATTCCACATTTTTGGGTAGGTAATCTTGAATCCATCAATTCGAGCCATACAAACGGACAGGAATTGTATACGCTATTTTCTTGGTAATGAACTAATTCACGAAGGAGCATTTAGGTAGTCCATACGAAGACTCTTGTATATTTTGTCACATAAATAATTGTTGAATCGAATAGTAGATTAGTAAAAATGGTTTTTTATATGAACCATTCAGCAAGGCTAAGAAAAATAACTCAAGTCTGCAAGTTTTCTTCTAGATAAGTTCTTCATTTAAAAGTGTCCAATGCCTCAGCGGTATTGTAAATATTACGAAGTGACCTTATGTGCCACTGGCTCCAGTGGTTCTAACCAAATGAAGTTATCTGCATTTAAAGATAATTTCTATTCCAAAAATAAACACATTTGAAGATTTATATAGGTTTATGTAAGTCTTAGCAGAAGGTAACTTTCAAATGTAACAGAAATGGTATGTATAGTCGAATAATAGTTTAAAATATAAATAAAATATATATGAATTTGAACGGAGGGTGTTTTTGGCCTCTGGGGACCTCAACACGAAAAAGTAATTCGGTCCCGGGTCCAGGTCTTACCATGAGTACTACGGCAATAGCTTATTCCCTATATGGGAAATTCGCTAAAACAAACAACCTTAATTTTTTGTGTATGTTAACCTGTTGGAATCAAATGTTGCAAACATTCCTGTAGACTCTTGAAAGCCTTATCATTTGCGGAAAACCACCAATCCTCTTCCCCATTATGTTCATGAAACCACACTTTCTACACAAACCATTATAAGATCTTGATAATTAATTTGAAAAAATAGTTTCCAACGTAACGTTGAAAGAATTCGCTCAATCGGTTCATGGACACGCCTTGCATTTTCCGCTGTTCCAGTCATCGTCCACCCTCCCCGATAATTATTGGCGTTTAATCGTGGGAACTCAATCGATAGTGTTCCAAGAACTGATTCTCGGTTAACGTCTTTGATTCAGCAAGTTATTAATGCAATAGTGACGCTATCCCTGGTATATCCGTTGAGAGTATCCGGGTAGATTCCGCCAGATCTCCAGTTACTATCCGCCCCAGGCCGCTCGTGATGTGGGTGGCTTTGAAAGTGTGAACATTTTTATCCATTTCACCAACCCGTGGGATTTATAGGGTCGAAGCATTTTAAATGTCCCCTTTCTAAAATATTGTACGAGTTTAAAAACTGATTTGATCATAGTTAATTGGTGGATTTGATACATGTAGTTAATTATTGCGATAAACTTGATATTACGATTAAGAATGTTCAAATGTTTCTACTTTAAATCTAGTCAACCAAAAATGTCCATTTACTATGTACCTGTTACTGTATGCAATATTTAATGTAGCCTATATTAACAATTTGACGTAGTCTATAACTGTAAATCTAGTCAACCAAAAATGTCCATTCACTATGTACCTGTTACTGTATGCAATATTTAATGTAGCCTATATTAACAATTTGACGTAGTCTATAACTGTAAATCTAGTCAACCAAAAATGTCCATTCACTATGTACCTGTTACTGAATGCAATATTTCATGTAGCATATTTTAACAATTTGACGTAGTCTATAACTGTATTACTGTTCAATTGACCAAATAAAAAATCTTGTATCTAATCTTGTATCTTGTAAGAAGTTTCATGTGGGAATAGTTCAAGTCAAGTAAAAAAAATCACATGAATGGTTCTTTAAAATTAGTGGCAAAACTTTTATTCATCTTGGACTACTTCACTACTTGACCTGATTACACTA